GGTTGAACTCCGCGGCCCCTTTGGCGGTTCCTGGTCGGGAGCGGCCTGAGCGGGCGTGGGGCCTCCCGGGCAGGCCTCGCTGGTGATGGGGGCTTTTCCGGGGGCCTGCGTGCTTCTGTGTGCTTCGCCCTCCCTGCGGCCCCCGAGGCAGCTGAACCACCCGCCCCGGGGCCGAACCCGGCTGCTGCGCGGCTGCGGAGGAGTGCTCTGCTGCCCTGGGCAGGAGGTGGTAGCCTCTGCAGGGCAGCGCTCCCGGGGAAGGCTGCCTCCTGGTAGTGCAGCCCCTGTGATTGTACGGAGCAGAGTACAACGCTGTGCTGGCTGCTTCGTACTGAACCCAAATTTACCGTGGCGTTTGCGGTATCTGCTTTTGCTTTTCTCCTTTAACTGGTAGATCTGGGCTTTGTAGTGTTCACCTTCTAAACTTTTTCTTTCTTGGGGGAGGACCAGGGAATGTCGTTTGGTCCTTAACTGTGTGTACTGATAAACTTCGGGTTTGTACCTCGTCAGCTGACCGAGAGAAGGCTGACCGGGAACACGATGTTCTGTCCCGGTTTATCCTCTAATGAACTTGGGATTCATTGGCCTGTACCAAAAGTATTTAATGGATAATTATTTGTTATTACATCACGCCTGTTTTATTTAGTTTTTTAAAATTACACTGAAAAGAAACCTTTCCAGGTGTCACATGTTGGTTAAATTGCTAGTGGTATGTGAATCATTCACTAGTAAGAAGCCTTTGTCTTTTAGACAAATTTGTCTTTTAGACTAAACAGTGATTTTTGAAAGTGTTTTGGGAGAGTATTGTCAGGGATATAAATATTTAAAGATCAAATAAAGATAGGGTGGAGTGCAGTTTTGGACTAGGCTGCATATTGGACTGAAAAAGGTCTTCTTTTCCTGTGCAGATGCAAATTATAATTGCAATAAAAACAGGACCAGCAGATCTTTGTTTCACAGTAAAATCTACAGGGAAACATAGTATGATATGACAGCTTAAAACTCAAATAAGTAATTGTTAGTGATCAATTTTAGCACTCTAGTGAAATGCTTGGTATGCAGAGTGGTGTTGGTTGGAGTTTCACGTTGTTCAAGATGGAAAACCTTGGACCACAGTCAAAAATGTTAACAAACTCAACATCTTACAACCGTTGGGAGAATGTTTCAGTACAAATCATCTGACCGGCCTGCTCTGTTTTGTAACGTGGTTTTCAGTAGGTTGGAGTCTTTTTATCTTCCCAGGAGAGGAATAGTGTTCACTACTCATTTTGGAGATGTGCCTGTCTGGTCCACAGTGTAGGTCCAACGTGAATGTAACACTCTCTAAGAGTTTGCTACGTAACATGACAGCAGGACATTTCCTAACTGTGACAAAGACAGTACCAATGTTCTTTAGTACAGCTGAACAGAAGTGAACCGTTGTAGGTCACACTCCTAGTTACCATCGTAGATTTGTAAGATTATGGCAATATCTCTTTGTTTTAAAGCTCATTTACAGGTTTGGGGATGAGTGACTGGAAAGCTGCTTGGCAGAAAAGGACCTGGGGGTGTTGGTTGACGGCCAGCTGAGTATGAGCTAGCAGTGTGGCCAGGAAGGGCTCCAGTGGCATCCTGACCTGCATCAGGAACAGTGTGGTCAGGAGTAGTGAAGTGATTGTGCCCCTGTACTGGGCACTGGTGAGGCCACACGTCAAGTCCTGCGTGCAGTTTTGGGCCCCTCACTACAAGAAGGACACTGAGGTGCTGGAGTGTGTCCAGAGAAGGGCAATAAAGCTGGTGAAGGGTCTGGAGCACAAGTCTTGTGAGGAGCAGCTGAGGGAACTGGGGGTGTTCAGGCTAAAGAAGAGGAGGCTGAGGGGAGACCTGATTGCTCTCTACAGCTCCCTGACAGGAGTTTGTAGGGAGGCGGATGCTGGTCTATTTTCCTGGGTAGCTGCTGATAGGACAAGAGGAAATGGCCTCAAGTTGCATCAGGGGAGGGTACGTCTTCACTGAAAGAGTGGTCAGGCATTGGAACAGGCTGCCCAGGGAAGGGGTAGAGTCACCATCCCTGGAGGTGTTGAAGGAGCGTGTGGATGTGGTGCTTGAGGACATGGTCTAGTGGGTATGGTAGTGTTGGGTTGATGGTTGGACTGGATGATCTTGTAGGACTTTTCCAGCCTTAGTGATTCTGTGATTCATTTACATCTGTCATTTATGCACAATTTCTGTTTTTCATGTTATTCTTGTAGAAGTTGATTATTTAGTGTTTCCAAAGATGAAGAGAAAAGTTGTAAAAGTTGGGAAATTGAGACTTAGTCCTAATGAAGAAACCATGCTTCTGAAAGAAGAATATGAAAGAAGAAGAAAACTGAGGCTACAGCAAGTATGCCTGTATTTTTGCACACTGATTTGTTACATCATTAAATGAAATACACATTTGGAAAATTAACTGAAAAATTTATTTCATGTAAACTCAATTTCAGGGTCGTAATATTGTATATTAGTTTTCTATTTGGTTTGTGAATTATTTTCCTACTCTCATGTTTATTTACTAAGTGCATATTTTGCTTGCGATACCTTTTTCTGCTTGTTAGATTCACTTCGGCACCTGTTCCAGAATCTCCTCCCTGACAGCTTCCTGGTACCTACCGTTTTTATTTGGCCGTGAACATGTAGTTGTCTCTCTTCTGCCCATGTATCACTTGTGTAAGGATCTGTGGCACTTACGGTGTTCCGGGTGTTTTCACAGTGATCATGTGGAAGAGACAGGGCAACTACTGCCAATACAGGACTTCACAGCTTTCCTCTCGGCAAACTGAACTGCTGCAATGCATCACAGCTCTAAATGCTTTGAGTACTGCTCCTTTTAGAGGGTCTGAGCAGAGTACTTTTATGTTCTTCAGCGCATGTCTGTTGATCATCTCATCTTTCTTCCGTTTCTGTCCTGCTGTTAGACCTCAGGGCTACTACTCCAATTCTCTTCTTAGCCTTCCTCAGCTTTGTCTTGCACAAGCTATTCAGGTCTTTCACATGTTCAAAAGATATGTATCTTCAAAACACTTTCTGTGTACTAATCTTCACCCCTCTTGGGCTGTTTTCTTGATACATTTTTAGTGAATTTTACTGGCAAAAGTGTTAAACAAAAACTTAGTAAACAGACTTCAGTTTGTACTTGTTGATTTTTCTTTAAACCATGTTGCATTGTGATAGGAGTCTTCAATAACTTACTGTGTTGTGTATTTGGAGGGAAAGATAGTCCAAGCAGTTCTTGCATATTTTTTTTAACCAATTTTATGTTGCTCTGTGGACTTCGACTGAAAAGTTTAACTAAGATTAAACTTATTATTTAATATATTAATTTGGAAGAAGGTAATGGTGACTTTAAAGTATTTTCTGGACAGATTGTTGATGGAATAGTAAATGAGATGGAAAGCTGAAAGGAGGGTAGAGTATGTAGTGGAAGAGCTTGCTGCAAAAAATATTGTTCTTTTCTAAGATACTGACAGAACATAAATGCTGTTTCTACAGGTTAGAGAGCAACAGAAGCATATCGCCTTGCAGATAAGACAGAAGGTAAAGCAGAGGAGAGAAGAGCAACTACATCAGATAGAGGAGGCACTGAGAGCCGAGTGGCAGAAAGCACAGGAAAAGAAGATGAAAGCCTTAAAAGAACTGTATTTATCAAGCTTAAGAGCGATTGGTGAGGGTCACCGACAGGCTAAGGAGCACGTAAGTGAAACAGCGTAATATTATCGTCACAGAAGTTTTTGGTGTTGTAAAGTACAAAGATGGCTTTTTTTTTTTAATATTCTTGATCTTGCAGTCCTAATACCTAAACCAACAGGGGTTTTTAAGAATGGAAACTGATTAGGAATGTTAGTGTATGGGTTTAAATTGAGAATGGGGAGATGTAGGTTAGATATCGGGAAGAAGTTCTTCCCGGAGAGGGTGGTGAGGCACTGGAACAGGTTGCCCAGAGAAGCTGTGGATGCCCCATCCCTGGAAGTGTTCAAGGCCAGGCTGGATGAGGCTTTGAGCAACCTGGTCTAGTGGAAGGTGTCCCTGCCCATGGCAGGGGGGTTGGAACTGGATGATCTTTAAGGTCCCTTCCAACCCAAACCGTTCTGTGATTTGGCAGATACCTTTCCACAAGGCCAGGATTAAATGGTCCAGCAGTCCCATCTGCTCAGGCTTTGGCTGTGCAAATTCTTAGTTATTTTGCGTATGTTAGATTGAACAAGTGTATGGTACTGTAGGCTTGTTCTTCACTAAATTGTACATGGTGAATCACTTTCAAGTGTGCTAGTAATATAGTAACTGTTTTCTCTACCATGTCACAGTACCTGTTCTGTGGTTAAGAAGATACCCCCTTTTTTTTTTTTCTTCAGTGCTCAAGTGGAAAGTCTTGGAAAGTCTTCGTAAGGGCTTCAGAGGCCTTTGCCTAGACTGCAAACTGGTGTCGGTTCTTGATTCTGCACCTATGAACTATTATTACTTTCATTAAAATCCTATAGCTTGTGTAGGCTCTCTTTGAGAGATTGTTGAGGTTCTTGGGTAGAAACTTTCCATATATCTGATTTTGAACCAGGTCTGTAGAAGTCAGCAATGCCACAGATTTCTGGCCTGACTTGCAGGCTAACTTACTTCCTGAATTAATTGGGTTTTTTAACCCAAGTTAAATAGCCTTATATATTTCCATATCTCGGTGTCTCTAAATCAACTTCTTTGTAAAGACCTTTCCAACACTAGAATGGATGAATTTGTGGAAAACTGATGCCAGTGCCGTAGGAACAGAGTAACAATCATAAAGAAATGTTTCTGTTGACACACAATTGTTGTAGTTAATGACTGGAAGGTGATAATATGCTTCTCTGTACAGCTTAATCAGCGTTTGCTAAAATGTGTAAATATATTTATATTGTCCTCTTTATCAAAGAGGTGCAGAGAGAAGCTAATAAGGTTTCCACTTCAATATTTGGTTCCATGGGCTGAGGAATGTGGCAAATTTGCCGATGGTAGTGGTAGTGAAGGAGGGAGTAAAGAAGATGGCAAGGAAGGCAAAGTTGTTAGACTGTAATACAGTAGCAGGTAATTTTGAGCTTGTGATTCTTAGCAGCAGTACGTAATTTGAAACACCACACCTATAGTGTGAGAAGTGAGTAAAACCCTGTATTAAGTGCTTGCAATATTTTGTTGTGAAGGAACCTGACTTAGAAGCTCTGGCAAGGCAAGCAGAGGAAAGGAAACAAAGAGCAGAGAAGAGACATAGGAAAGCCCTGAAAGAGCAGAAGCACCAAAAAGAAAAATTACTCCGTGAGCAAGCCCGGTATGCAATGGTTAACTGGTATTACTAAGCACAGAATGCATTTTACAGTGTCACAAGTTTAAAGGCAAAAATCTTGATGCTTCTTGCTTGCAGCTTTTTTAATCTTGACATTTTATGGGTTAGAGAATTAATGCTCGTGGACAAAGCTTGTGGATTTTGATAAGAACTGTAGTTTTAAAACTAAGACAAAAATGTCAGTTATATGAGCTGGGCTTGAGTGGAGGAGGGGGAGGGAGGGAGGGGCATTTCATCTCTATGTTGCCGCTTTCAGTCTGAATTGTTGCTTGACAGCTATTCCATGACACATGCAATGAAATGTTCCCGGGCCAGTTCCTGAAGGAGAGTTAACCACTTGAAAAAAGGGCCTGTTGTGTTTGCGTACACAGGTTGGACCAAACTTGAGCTGGCATGAAAAATGAACCGTGTACTCTTGGGGAGAGTTGTGCTTGAGTAGAGCTGAGACTTATTGATTAAATAGTTTTGTCACACTCGAGCAATTAAAATATGTTGAAGTGATGCAGTGTTTTCTAAAAACTTAAGTGAAAAGCAGGGATTTTTCTTTCTTCTTTAGAAGCTCGTGTGTATTAACATTATTGCATTACTTTAAGAAAATAATTTTCCAGTGCTGCCTTCCAGCAGAAGTTCTGTTGACTTTTCAGCATGCTTGCCCATCCTTATCTCCCAAGCATTCAAATCAGGGGCATCTCAATCTCTATATTCTTAGGTTTGCGTTTTTATGTTGCACGGTGCTGTCATTGTTGCTTGAATAATTTCCTTCTATCTTTTTCTTTTGTGTTGGTGTGCGTTTATGTGTGGGGGGTTTTTTTGTTGTGTTTTTTTTTTTTTCTTTGTTTGCATGTGGGGGTGTGTTTGTGTTTATTTCCCCCAAGACGAGCGAATGCACGGAAACATGCTCTGGAAGTGGAAAGACAAAGAGCAGCCAAAGTTGCGAGCCTGCCACCTCCGCCGCCACATCCTCTTGAGGTATGTATCCATGCGGTAGTGTTCCCAATTTCAGGGTACCCCATAACGTAGTGATTTACTTACTGCTCTTGCTCCTCACGACAGGGTATCTGAAACTGTCATTTGCATACCATAAGCAAAGTAGTTTAGCAAAAAGAATATTAATGAATTATGTATTAGCAGGCTTCTTACTGCTAAGCTTTGGTATTTGTTTATTTCTGATCTCTAGTTATGTGTGGATTTTATTTTTTGTCATCTGAAATCTTTTTATGTGTGTGTGGTTAATGTGTCTCTTAAAATTTATCATCTCCTTTTCATTTAATAGCCACAGTGGTGTTAAACTCTGCAGTGGTCTTTCTCAGTGTGTACGCACCACCTCAGCCATCTGTCGTAATGATGCAGGGGTTTGCTTCTGTAATAAAGGTAGTTCTGCCTTTTTAGCTGTGAGTTGGGGTTTTTGGGGTTGTTTTGGTTTTGTGTGTGCGGTTGGGTTTTTTTAATTATTTTTATTTTTCTTCCCCTCTGATTTCTTTATTTCTGGTAGGAATACTGCAGAGTTTTTGGTAGGAAACCAGTACCTAAGGCCATTGGGGAGGAGAGTAGATAAACACTGTATGCTTAATCCTGTGCTGTACCCTTTTTAGGGGACGACTTTGTACCTCCTTCACGCTGCTTTGATTTCACTGAGATTCTGCATAGGTATAGAAGGTACTGTGGGATTGCAGATCTGAACTGCGGGAAGAACATGGTGCATTTTTTACTTACTGTTCAGTAAATTAAACTTAATGGAACTTCATTAATGTGGAGTTTAAGTTGCCTTACCTGTTGTCCTTTCAGACCACCAGGTTCAGGGATATTCAGACCACTAACCAGAAGAGAAAGGGTTACAGTATACTGGTCCCTCTGAGAGCCAGTGATCAAAGGTTTTCCTAGCTACACCCAGCATGTTATGTATAGGTTAGTGTGTTGGATGGTAGGGGTTTGGTACCGATGAATCTGCAAAAACCAAGTAAGGGTTGACCCTCACAGTTTTCAGAATGATTAGACAAAGGCTTTGATCTATATCCCTGGGCTGGATTCAGTCAGGAAAGAGTTAACTCTCTTTACCGTGGCTGCTAGGAAGCTGTTCCTGGATGCAGAGAGCAGCACTGATAAGTTCTCAGCTGACGCTGAGCAATGCCTGCACTGAATTCAAGGTCTTTCTCCGCTTCTGATCCTGCAGCTGCGTTCCCAGCTCTTGCTGTCTCACAACAGGCCGTGCAGGGACACACAGTTCAGACACCTGACCCCAACTGACCAAGGGAGTATTTCATTCCATAGTACGTCATGCTCGGGGCAGAGGCAAGGAGGGGCTCTGGAAACCATTACTCTCTCCCTTACTCTTTTTCGTTCACTCCCACACACTTGCCAACACTCTCCCTGACTCCTGCGTTGGCTGCTTCACTAACTCCTGTGCTGGCTGATTCGTGAGGGAGTTGGTGGGTTTGTTTAGTTTTCCCGCTCGTGCTGTCGCTGATAGGGTTTGCATGGAATCGGCTGGGATCGCTCTTGGGCTGCAGGTCTGTGGGTCTGACTCTCACTTTTCAGCACCTGGTTGTGCATTGGTCAGTGAGTGGTGAGAAATTGCATCCTATTGTATCACGTTTTCTATTTTAATTATTTATTGTTCGTAGTATTTCTATGTATGTATTTAGATTTAATTAGTAAATAGTTCTTATCTCAATTTTATGAGCTTCCTTATTTCTTTTTTCCTCCAATTCTTCCCCTCCACTGGAGGAGAGGAAAGGGATTTGTGAGAGCGGCTTCATGGTATTTGGCTAGCCGGAGTTAAACCACGACAATCCAGCAGTCCTGTCTCTAGCTGTATTCCCTGGCTGTCTGGGGTTTTCTTATTGTGGAAGCTGGCTATGAGTGAGGATTAAAGCAAGTGTTGAAAGGGAGTGGTGAAGTTTTACATGTACTTCACCAGAAATAACCCTACTGTTGCAATTTGGAACAGATGGAGTAAGGACCTTTATGGTAGAGTTCAGGTAAATCCAAATATTCTCATGTTGCTGTTCCCAGTGTATCTGCTGTAGAGCAGATCAAGGCTGTGTGAGTTAAAGCTTTGACTCTTCGTTTCCTGGCTTTCAGATGCTTCTGTTGCTCAGTTTGGCATTGTTAGAAAAGTGTGAGGTGCTGCAGCATGGCAGTCTGGTAACTTTTACAGTTCAAGATGGTTTATGTTGCTTTCTATTAAAAAAAAATCCAGCAAGTTTTGTAATTGGTGCCCAAAGTCAGCTGCAGTTAACATGCATGTTTGTAGATGATAGAACAGCCAAAAAGACACAGTCTTATATAATACTCTTCGTCTAACAACCTCAGTAATGCCTCTCGTTCCATTTTACAAATGCAGAATTTCCTTCACACTCTTCAGTCCTTTTTCACCAGGGCAAGCAAGGAGACTTTGTTCAGGTTTCCCCAGGTTCTGGTACAATTGCATTTGTGATTGTGTTGGGTGACAGGTCTGGGTCAGCACCCTGTGTCGGCATTGTAGAATCGTAACTTCTTTGCCTGGAATTCACCAGTTTAATGTGTTTCCACCCATGAACAAATGTCCTTTACTCACCTTTTCAGCAAACATGATTTTAGCTGGTTTTAGCAGTTTGCAAACATCTGGATTTTGTGGGGTTTGTTTCATTTAAGAAAGTTCATGCTCTGATAATGGCAAATTGAATCAGCAGTTCTGCAGACGTGTTGGATTTTTGATGAGGAAAGAGCTTGCATTGCATTGTTAAATATAGCACAGCGTGTCAGTTTGATCCGTGTAAGGACTACCTGACTCCGAGCCTCTTTCCTGGTTTTCATGTCTGCATGGATTTTAAGGATTTTCTCCAAGGCCTATGTTACTCCCTTGGAAGAATAACTGGGTGCCAGGAACTGCATGGGCTAAATGCTAATTAATTGAAAGGTCAGCGATTATTAGAGCTGTGGCTTATTCCTAGTTCTGTCTAGGGGGAGAAAACATAAGATGTTAACTGTCCATTTCAGGAGGGGGAAATCTGGGGCTTTGTCTTGCAAGTGCATTACTCAAAAGGCACTGAATTGGAATTGCTTCACTTTGCTGTAATTCACGGGATTTAGAGTAAATTACAAGGTCGTCTGCATAAGCGTGCGTATTTTCTTGAATCAGTTTACACAGAGAGTGTATTAAACATAACTGTAATCAAAATCTGATGCTCTGTTGCAGTAACAATTGACTAAAACTTCGTAAAATGGAGCCAGGGCAGTGGTGTTTGTTGCAGGGTGTCTTAGAACATAAGAAACATTTTCTGAAGATACTCTTGTTAGTGTTACTTTACCCAGTTAACAGAAGAAGTGGTTTTATTCTGGATGTATTGTCCTAATCAAGTTTAATTCTGAAAAAGGTGGCTTTTAGGAACTGAGGCCTTATTTAGTTAGAGCAACGTCTCATAAGTTGCTGCTCCAGTTTTGCCAGATGTTAGTATAGAATTACTTACTTCTTTTTGGAGTGGGTGTGGAGAGGAGGAGTAGTTAAAAACCTCCTGATGGAAGTATGGATGGATTCTTAACTGCAGTGGTTCCACCATGAGGTGTGATAATGTATTACTTTTTCCAACCTAAATTACTTTTGACGTTAATTGGAAAATTGCAGCCTCCGACATAATTCTCGCATCTTCACAGCTTTCACAGCAGTTCTGGAGCTTTGATTGATTAAATGTAATTATTTATTACTTGTTTACACTTTTTTTAAGTAATTCAAAGCCTGAGTTTTAATTATACACTCTGAAAGTAACGCAGAACAGGTCAAGCAGTGGGTGATCTGGCTGTTGAGGTTTAGGCATGGGACTTGTCCGTTTTCAGAGCTATGATCGATATCTACGAGTGTTTTGGTTAATGTTGATCTGTTACTATGATTTATTGATTAAGCAAGTCAGCCATTTTTAAACAGCATTATGTACAAATAAAAGTGAAATCCTTGACGGTGTGCTTTTATTTGTATGTATCGCTTTTCTTCCTACTAGAATAACATGCATTTGCTTGAAAATTCATAAAATAAGTTACTGAAGTTCTCTTGGTAAAGGCTAAAACTAGATGCACGTCATAGGATTTTAATTGAAAGATTTCACTTGTGACAGTATCTCTTGTTATTTTATAATCAATACTGAAATTCTGTATGCCTCAGATTTTCCTGTGTTATCTACTCTAGGTGATCGTGCTCCAGCAGGGGGGTTGGACTAGATGATCTCTAGAGGTCCCTTCCAACCCTACCCCTCACCTAGAGAGAAGTTTAAGATACACCTGAGACTCAGTGCTGCTCATTGTGTGTGTGTGCGTGTTTGTTTACGGTCGCATTAAACCGCTCTGGCAACGAAACTTGCTACTAAGTTAATATGGGTAAGAATCCTTCTTAGGAAAAAGTCTAGGGCAGATGAAGCTGAGAGAAAATAACTGGAGGAGATGTCAGAAGTACAAATGCAGGTCCTACAGAACAGTGAGTTACCTAACCTGGCTACTTCACTGCTGAGAGCCTCAGGCCAAGCCAAAGAAGAGGGAGGGTTTTGTTGCTCGGTGTTCAAAATCGGGCAGAGTTGAAATGTGGTAGTGTACCCAAAACGTCTCAAAAAAATAAATACTTTGTATTACAGGCATAGCCACTTTTTAGTTAAGTTATGGAAATCCTGTTTTCGCTGGTCAACTAATAAATTGCACATAATGATTTTGAGTTTTGTAAATAAAGTCTGTACTTAGGAAGTGTTGTTTTGCTGTTAGGCGTAATTATATTGTGGATCCGTGGTTGCCCTGCTTTGAGGTGAGTGTGACAGCTGTTGTAAGTGGGATTTGTATTAGTACATTAAACTCGAGTGCTTTCAAATTAAGGTAATGCTTTTGAAACACAGAGGTAGAGCTCTCTGATGAATGTTTATTTGTGTGGAGGAGTTTGCCTTATGCTGTCAGGTGCTCTCAGTTGTTAAGCCCTCTGGATCTGCCTTGTGCTGATGTGATTTATTAATTATTACATGTATTTAAAGTTTTAAACAATATCTTCAGGAGACAGTTTGGGAGAGTGGCTTTCTTGTAATACTAATTTAAGTGTACAGTTCACTTATGTTCTGTTTAGCTGTTTTGCTAGGGATACTGTTCCCTGATACAGCTGTACTTTTACTTCTTCCTAGAATTTTGACGTGAAAAAGGTGCCTGCGGTGAAGCCCTATAGTGCTGACAACTTTTCTGTTACACGTTACCATATTTCCCAACCTTATGTGGACAGAGAAATGGATGGAGAGCAGGTAATTGACTCCGTGACACATGCTTCATTTATCTTTCTTTATATTGCATACAGTGCCTGGATACCAGCAATTCAGTTTTCTAGAATTCGTTTAGAACTATGAACTTGTGTAAAGGAGCCGTTACACAACTTCCTAATCAGACTCTTGGATGGGGAAACTTCTAAGGCCTGTTATGTGCTCAGTCACTTGTGGGATCACACCTGACAGTCCCATGTGAACAGACCTCTGTAAGGAGGTGAACTCACAAGGCTGGTATAACGTTAGGACATCCAAATCTTCTGCGTTGTGGCATATGCTAAATTAATAGTTGCAGTTGGCCCTGCTTTTTTCTCTTCCCCTCTTTTTAGCTGTGTACTCCCAGTCTTTACCTTGTATTGTGTGCGTGTCTTCGTGCAGTCAGTGGTTTCAGCTTGCCAAGACGGCAGAAATCTAATTTGGGAAAAAGAGCAGTGAACAGATTTCTGCCAAATGGGAGAGTTTGCTTGAGTTTACAGTACACTCAGACAAAGGCTGAAGTCGGATCAGAAAAAGGGGAGGACCTGGAAAAGGGAGAGGTGGAGCAAGAGCTTAGCTTTTAGAGACGATGTTTGAATTAAGTAATACTATTATATGAAGTAATGCATCAGGAGAAATGTGGCCAGCAGGGTGAGGGAGGGGATTCTGCCCCTGTACTCTGCTCTGGTGAGACCCCACCTGGAGTTCGGTGTCCAGCTGTGGAGCCCACAACATCAGAAGGATATAGACTGGTTGGAGCGAGTCCAGAGGAGGCCACAAAGATGCTCAGAGGGCTGGAGCACCTCTCCTGTGATGAAAGGCTGCAAGAATTGGGCTTGTTCAGCCTGGAGAAGAGAAGGCTCTGGGGAGACCTTATTGCATCCTTCCAGTACCTGAAGGGGCCTACAAGGAAGCTGGGGGGGACTTTTGACAAGGGTCTTTAGTGACAGGACAAGGGGGAAGGGGTTTAAATTGAAAGTGGGGAGGTTTAGATTAGATATCAGGAAGAAGTTCTTCACAGAGAGGGGGGTGAGGCACTGGAACAGGTTGCCCAGAGAAGCTGTGGATGCCCCATCCCTGGAAGTGTTCATTTAAGTACTTCTTAATTGCAATGTGTTGGTAATATTTTTTTGTATTTAAAAACTGCAGATTGTTTCTGGTTTCCCAAATAAGAATGAAAATGCTTCTGGATTCCCCAACTCGTCTTGTTTACAAAATCATGAGGATAGAAGTGGTGTAATATCGACTCATTCATTTTACCTTGTATTGTAGGAAAAATAACCACTCTGCTGTACCAAATATATCATACAAATGATTGTCCCTAGTACAGCTTGAAAATAGAACATTTTGACACAACACTTGGGGCATAAGTAAACATGCCTCTTTTTTTAAGGTAAAAAGTTATCTTGGTCCTGATTGCAACCAAAATTAGAAACCTTCAGGAGTGTTCATATGGCATTGTATGTCTTCTTTAAAAAAGTGCTTTTGCTGCAGAATTACTCATTTATTTATTGTTACATATGCTTTAAACTACTACAAAGACATTCATGGACTAAACTGTTGATTGACTGCCAGCCAGATGCTCGGTTAGCTGCTGAAGAAGAAGGGAAACGTTTGGAGGAACTACACAGAGAGGCAGAGAGGGAGAGAAAAGAGCAGATTGAAAAGGCACATCTCCGAGGAAATCATGCCTTGAAGAAGGTCCATTTGGCTCAGGTAGGGAAAAAAAGCCTGTTTTTAACGTCAAAATAACCACTCTTAGGTAAAGTTGTAGGTAGGTGTTTACTAAAGGAATTAGAGTTACTGGAGAATAATTGATGGACTAAATGGAGTTGCCAGAATGTGTTTAGAAAAATATCAAACTCTGATTGTTTTGGCTATCCAGAAGGAGGGAGAATGAAAGAGAACATCCTTTAATTTTTGTTACCTTGCTGTTTGACCAGCGGTTAACCAATCAGTAATAATCGAGCTCAACTCTTTTAATAGATTATAAGCTCTACTTTTCCACATCAGCTTTAGTTGGGAGTTGATTATTCTGTGCTTCAGGGGGAAAAATAGTTTATTAATAAGTTTATTTTTTGAAAAAACAGTTTATTTTTTGAAAACTTGTTTCAAAGTTTTTACTTAAAGACTGAGGTTCTGTTAGTGTCTAAGTCTGGAAATAATGAAAGTGTTTCCTTTAAGAGGGAAAAACTGAACTGTTGAGACCTAGAGGTATACTCTGAAGCTTATATTATTGTCTGTTACCTTCACAGGCATTTTTGAGGATAGAAATACCAAAAGTTTCCTGTTTCTTAGTTAAGATATGATTGGCCCTCAGTGAGTAACCTAATTAAAATGGGGAACTGTGGAAACATTCCTGATGCTCCTTAAGTTAAAAGGAAAAAAAATCCAACCAAACTTCAAGTAAAGCTTTTTTTAAAATAATATGATTATAGTGTGCCAAGAGTATTTAGTTTGCTCTTTAAAAGGTTGCTGAAGTATATACTAACAAAAGTCACTTGCCAAAGGAAGTAGTCATTTACCTTATAAAACAGAAGATTTAATTCTCTTGAGGAAAGTTGGCATACGGGTGTACAGTCTGATCCTTTATTTAACATTAGATCTTCTAGGTAGTATTGATGACTTGTGTTTTAAAGGTCAGGTACAGCCTTCTCCTGAGCAAGCACCTACCTTCTCCCTAAAATCCAATTCACTTTGAACGTCAAGGATTAAACAAACTTGGCGGTAACCAAATGGAAGTATTCAATCAGTATGGCCATCTGAATGTGAACACTGTGTTTGTTATCCCATCCTCTTGCTTGAAGGACAGAGAAAGGCTACTGAAAGAACTTGAGCAAATGCAGAACATGGATCGGATGCGCAGAAGACAGATCGTAGCGCAGATGCCACCTCAGCTTGTTGTGCCTGCATACAAACGCATGGAAATAGAAGAAGAATGGCAGAAAGAGTTGGAGTTTGCATTTGAAGATATGTACAGTGAAGACAGGAGTAAGTAGTAACTTGGAGGTTGCTGAATCTGGTAGCCAAGGGGAGGAGAGGCTGCTGCAGCTGCCTGTTCCCAGGACCAGCTTGCAGCAAGGCTGTGTATGTGTTTACAGTAGGCAAACACAAACAGCCCGAATAACCTCATCCTGTTCACTGCTCTGGCTGATCAGGATGAAACCTGTTAGTGGGATATACATCTGTATATGCAATTTGGATCCCTCCAGCAGTTGGTTTTAGACACTCAGTCTACCCAGTAATTGCCACCTGCATCCCATGTCTCTGCCTGTCACACTACAGATCCCCCAGTAACAGGTCTTAGACACCCAGCCCACCCCATCCTGGACCCTGTAGCCTCCCAGTTACCTTGCATGTCCACATACACACTGGTATGCTCAAATCTGTGCCGTGGATCACTCAAGTGGCTTTGGATACTCGCCCTACCTAGCAGCTGGCTCTTGATCCTTAGTGTCTCCAGTTGCTAGCTGCTGGGCATGTGAACCCCCAGGGCCTGCTGCTCCGCTCCAGTTGTTGCTGCGCAGACCGAGTTGGGTGTGTGAATTTATGCACAGATATGCACGTCCTGTGGATCTCTGGTAACTGACCTTAAGCACACAGTCAGCCCAGTACCTGACCCTGGCTCCTCTTGTCTCCAGTTGTCCAAGATGTACATGCATGTGCCAGCAGGTTTCTTAGTTGACCCTGAGACCCCATGGCCTCTCATGACAGGGACACAGTCCAAGCATCCAAGCCTGGCATCCCCTGATCCCTCACTAGCCAGCTCGCAGCTCTCTTGGCCTCTCCAGTATCCAGTCGAGTCTTACAGGTGCTGCTAAACCTCTAGTCATTCCTAAAAAAAGCAGTTTGCTAGCCACTGCACACTGGTGCTCCTAACCCACATAATATGCACTGTAGGCTCTGCAGCTGGCAGTGCTCTGGACATGAGTGCCTGTGACTTTTGGTCCCCACTCCAGGTGCTGGTCCTTCTATATCCACACACACATACAGAATAGAGGGTTTCTCACCCAGGAAACAGCTAGAAACGGAACTTAGTGAGAAGACAGGGCACACTGTCAGGCACAGTGCGTGGCCAGACAAGTGTACTGACTGGCCCCTTAATCCCCTTATTTTCACTTTTCCTCACACTTGTTCCTTCTCAGACTAACTTGATCCTTTCCCTGTCTTTGGTTCCTCCCCTAAGTATCTATAATAAACATACAGTCCCAAGATGATCTTCCTGTGTGTCCCACATCCCCTGTAGGCACTCACCCCCTCAGTCAGTCCGGTGGTTGTGGGAGAGCTCCTGTTGGCTAGTCGCCTGGGATTTCACACCTCCACCGTGTTGCTCTCCTGTGACAGTCCTGTGAGCAGCCAGGTCAGGGTGTGTCTTTTTCTTGAAGAGGTTACTGGGGTCCTTCTGCTTATAACTAGTCCTGTGTGCTGCTCTTTGTGTAAAGATGAGCTTTTTATCGCATAAACTTTTATTTTGGAAGATGTAGCATATTTTAGATGAAAACCCTGTAGAATTTGTGAATTAATAGATGGTTAATGATCTAAACAATTTTGAATCTTGGATTTTGGGGAAAAAAACAGCTGGACTAAATCTGTTGTGACACAAGCTATTGATATTTGAACTCCTTGGGGATCTATGATAAGTGTAGTCTTGCAACGTTGCCCGCTTTTTATTCCAATTGGTTGTTTTATGCTGTTGTGTTCTTTTAATTAGAAATGAAAGGAGACCTGATTGTGCAGTTTGAGCCACAACCTTTGCCAGCTCCGTCTGACAGATCTCAAGATAATGATCTTGATATCTCTTTGGAGCAAGAATCTGCTTGTGACACTCAGCCAGAATCTGCGTGTGATATGCGACAAGAAGAGGGATGGATGATAGAAGAGGAGGTCCCCGAGGAAACAGAAAGTAAAGCTTTTAAACTTTTTGGTTTTATAGTAGAAGGATACTTTAGTTTATATATCAGATAAATTAACTTTAGTATTAACTGAAATGTCTTAAGTACTAAAATTCCTTGATGCCTGTGAAGCATTTCAGTATTGAGTGGTTCATGATGTCTGTCACAGATGACAATAATGGTTGTGGCTTTAGAAATGAAAATGTGACTTTTGTCTAATATACTTCAGTTCATTAAAAATATTCTCAGTATACTGATTATTGTAAGAACTATGCTGTTAGTAGCTATAATTATTCTTACATAGTAAGTGTGAATTATGGGACGGTGCTGGTATGTGAACTTAAATATTTTTCATTTTGTGTTTTGAAATATTTCAAAGCTAAAACTTGAATTTGTATGAAAGTCTGCTTAGTATGTCTCTTATGTTCAGGTTTGTGATTGAGTTGCTCCGTACTGGGAGGAGGCTGCGGTGGCTGTGCATGTGTACTCCGCTTGTGGCATGTATGGGATAACATCACGTTGAATGCAAAGCGCATCAGTAAACTTGGCCGAGTATCTCTGCCACATGGCTGTGCTGGCACAACTGGGTTTTTGGGGTGTGATGCATCGTGTTGCCAGTGCTGATAGAAAGGAGAGGGCAGGAGCGTACGGGCGGGTGGGGGATAGTACTGCTTATTGCTGCAACGATAAGGTCTAGGGGTAGTCTGACTGTGCAACACTACAGCTAGCTGAGCCCTCCTTATACAGCATGCAGAGACAAATTATTGCTTCTTTCTTGCAGTTAAGAGGAAATATTGTTAAGCTTTTAAAACTTGGTAATGTAGCTGAGCTATTTGTCCAACTGTGTAAGCAATCAAAAAAAAAAAGGGCAAAACAAAAAAAAGGGGTTTATCTGTTTTTATGGTGTGAAGATACTCATTATCCAAAACTCTTGACAGTATATATTCTTTACAGATAATGAAGCAGCAAAAACTCGCCAACCCCAGTCAAAATTTGCTTTAAAGAAATTGCTGAAGAAGATCAGGAGTCAGAAAGAGGAGTGGACATCAAAAACTGAGCAAGAAATTCAAAGTGAAATTGAGACTATTGAATCAGGCACAATTGCTAGTGAAGAGAGACCATTATGTGATTTAGAACTTAACTGTGAGCAGCAGGAAAATACAGTATGTGAAGTCAAAGGTACGTAATCCATACTTGCATCAAAACTTGTAAAAGTGGACTGTAACAAAACTATTTGATGTATCTTCAATGGTGGTGTTCTGTCACGTTGCCAGAAAGTGCAGTTCTCCTGCCTTTTGCCTACAGTGCATGTGTGGATTTGCTGAAACCACAAGCAGGAGAGGTTTTTGCTCTTAGATCCAACTTGCCCATGAAGATCTTGTGGAGAAAAGATGTCCAAAACACCTCTGTGCCATTTAATCTTTTAATCATGCCCAAATCTTTGTCACACCTGGTGTTGCCATGCTTCAATATATGTTTGCCTCGAGGAGTAGAATTCTCAGTTCAAAATTGGGCATTGAAGTTCTGTGCCAGTTGAACTGGAAAAGCTGGATGCTTCAGAGATTCACCTCCAGAAATGCACCAGACAAGCATGGCCTGATGTGTCTGAAATCATGTGGGTGGGTTTTTTCTGCTTCTGGGCACCGGTCTGAAAAGCCTTTTTGTAAAACTGGAATTCATAGCAATTAAACATTCCATTTTGTTTGGGACTACTTCCCATTTTTATCCTTTGTGCTCTTTTGGTTAGGCTAGTGCTGAAGCTGGTGAAGTCGTATGCGCTGTTGGATTTCTGAAGTCTACTGAAGTGATTAGGTTGTGGCAAGGTTTCACTTTTCTTGCTTTCCTAGGGCGCTTGCTTTTTCAAATGAGATTGTGATATACTTCCATCGTGTACATGGATACACCAGCATAATTCCTGGGGTTTGGAGAGTGCAGCATGAGTGCAGGAATTCCTCTGTGGCCAGTGTGCTGCGATTTGAGGCTGATAGTACAGGAGGTCGAGTTGCTTTTTGTGCAATGGGCAAATGTTAAATCATTTGCCCAGGGAGTGCCAGTTTTGGACCCACTCTTCTGAGAGGTTTATGTGTGGCTTCTTACTCTTCAGGATGATCTTGCTGTTAGGCTACCAAGTAACTGGATGAAAGCTACCTTCAGTCCTCTTGGAGCTGAGCCATTACTGTATATTCAAGGAAAACACATGGTAAAGGGTCATTGAAGGCTTAAATAATACACAAATCTGTGATTTTCCAGCTTATGGAGACAGGCAGAGGAGTGGGATGGAGATAATAGTCTTTCCAAGAGCAGCTTGTGCATTTTGTTTAGAGAGGTTGAGAAACTGTAAAGCAAGATGTAAAGAAGATTGAAGGCTCTTTCTGACGACAGTTACAGTTAAATGACATGTATATTTTAGACTCTGTGGAAATGTTGGAAAATACAGTTGCAGCTGAAAACTCTGTTCTAATCCATCCGCAAGAGCAAGCAGCTAAAATTAGAATGGAAGAGGAGAGACAGAAGTGGGTAAGTGTCTGTGTACTTATTCCTGTCTCAGAGTGTAAAACCAAGTGATTTACAGAAGACCTTAATGCTTCAGGTTATATAGCAGATGTAGACCCTTTTAACATGCTTGTAACAACTAAACTTCTAACATTTTCTACACTTAGCCTCTGTGTATTAACTTTTTAAAAATTACTAAGTTCAAGCTGGAATTTAGAGTAGAGTGGAAAAACAGTTTCTCTAAAATCTAACAAGTGCTGTAGGGAAGGGAAGCCACACAATCTACAACCGGAATTCTCATTTAGTAATTAATACCTTTGCTTTAGGGAGGATGAAGTCAACAATATGCAACTGTGCAAACTTCACTAACCCTGTGTAATAACATAAGAAGGTCTGTGGGGTTGTGTTTACTGTGACAGGAAAAGCTTACAAACCTTGAGTATTTCGTTGGGGGTGGTGTGTGGTGTTTGTTTGCTTGGTTGGTTTTTTTAATGAACTAGGAACCAAATGCAGGAAGTCTTTTGTGTCTATGGAGATGTTATATTTATTATATCTAGAAAATAATAACTGTGTATTGAAAATATAATGAAGTATATACACATTTTTGTTGCTGTATCCTTGGAGACCTGCTAGCTATTATGTAGTGGCTTGTCTATTTTTTAAAAAAGTTGATATTTGTGTCTTAGTGCAGCCTTAAACTGTAGAGCTAAAGTTGAGAAATTCAGGAGACAAAAATTTGACCAAATAGTATTGTTGCAGCAAACGAACAAAAATGGAGCAACAGATCCTCTGTGAAGGTGTGGTTACTCTTTACGGTTTGTTTTCTCCCACCTTGCACCTTCCCGGCTGCAGATATTGCTGTGTCCACGTCACTGTTCTCAGGTCTAGCATTTTCTCGGGCTGCTCTTCCTGACATCCCCATTCAGACTGTCTCATTAGAGGCTGTTGTCCACTTCACCTTTGCCAGTGCATGGAAATTTGTCTTTGCTTGCATTCTAACAGTGTTGCTACACGTGGATCTGAGTGATGTGTAGCTGATAGGTACATGGAAAGAGAATAAAAATAAACAAACCACTTCAGAGATTTATGGAGTGCTCTTAAAGTGGTTATACACTAGCTATTTCAGAAGTCTTGCAAGGCTTGAATTAACATTTAAATGTGTTGAGCTCCTGATGAAAAGCTCTATAAAATGCAAAGTAGATTTTTGAATTCAGTTTAAGAAAAGGACTTCTGTAGTCTCTGGAAAATGATGATATATTTAAAATGGTTAGATTCTGATCTTTGTGTTCTGTTAATTTGCCTACACATAATCGATTTACTATTGTGCTATTCAGGGACAATTAGAAATATCTAGCCAGTAAAAAAAAAATTATTAATGTAAGCTTTAAAAATAGTTCCAAAGACCTCTTACAATTAGGAAATGCCCGTCACAAGCAATAAGATTTCTGCATCAAGTTGGAACAAAGCTTTGTGAGTGATGGTGTGTGTGAGGGGTCTTCAATTTCTTTGTCATTCAGTTCTGGAGATTCACCCTCATTTTTCTTCTCAATAGAATGAGAAAATAGAGCAACAGAAACAGCAACAGCTGGCCTTGCTTAAACAACTTGAAGAAGAGAGGGCACGTTTGGAGGCCGATTTCCTGAAGATCCAAATGCAAACCTGTTTGAAAGAGGCTACGGAAAAAAAAGAGGAGGAAAAGCAAAGTCAGCGGGTACAGAGCCACAGTGTTCCTTCTGCAGATCAGCAGAATGAAGTGGAACGTGAGGTGAAGAACTGTAGAAAATTGTGTGTAGTCTTTTTAATTATCCTTATTATAAAATTCAAGACCACCATTTGCCATTTTTAAAATTATGTCAATCAACACAATCAGTTTTTTATTTCTTAGGCTATGAATCAGAAGTTCTTACGTTTAAAACCCTTTTCTCTAATGCAGAAGCTGGTATTTCACGTGGTGTCAATGGACTTTGAATGTTGGTTTATCTCTGCATAGTCCCGGGGACAGCATGTCTGTTTACAGTACCTGTTAGTAAAATCTGATTGAAGTCTAAACAATTATGCATGTACATGTATCCTTTCCAAATTAAAAAAAATCTTAGGGGAAAAAAAAAGAACCCCCTTCTGCCTTTTTGTCCATCTGATCTCAAACAGGCACTTAAAGGAGAGGAATTTATTGAGGATGTTGAAGGAAAGTAATATTTTTTTAAAATCTTGAACCATTTGCACGAACTGTACTCTTCAGAGATGCTGATTGCCTTGGAAATGCAGCTCTGTTGGATCACTGCTCCCCAAGTTTGCTGCTGGGTACATTCACCTCTCTGAGCCGAGCTGCTGTGAGCGCTGTTGACTTTGGCGGTGTACGTTCCGCTTGTCAAGAGAGACTGGAGCTGTAGCCGTCCGTTCCAGAAACGGCTTTAGCTTCATTGCCTCAGGCTGAAATCTCAGACTGCAAAGGGTGGTACAGAGGGGCTTCTGGAAACTTAGAAGAAGCAACCACCTTAAGCTCTGTGTTCTTTTAATAGTTTTCTGTGAGTTATTTGTAAATGTGCAGTTAAAATAATCTCATTTTCATTAGGCTGGGAATACTGCTGTATCAGAAGCCAGGAGTCCTAGGGAAGACAGCCATTTACAGGTGATTCGTAGTTACCAGCAACGCCTTCTACAGCAAAATAGGTACGTTCCTTTATCAAACGGAAGGCTAAGTTGCTTGTTTCAAAACAATTTGAATTGCTTTGATGACTGAAATTGATGTTATCTTTGCACCACTCTGGAAAGATTCATGTTTTCCTTCTGTTCAGGCTGCACAAACAGACCATTGAAGAAGCTAGAAGGCGTCTAAAGGAGTATCAGAATAAATTGAAGCAAAGGTACTTGTCTGCTTCCGCAACACCTCCGAGCTCTGTGGAAACAAAATCAAGTAATTTAAAGCCTGTCTCAGAACCAGTTCTGCAGAGGCGAGGAGTGCATCCAACGCAGTACCAGCCATCCGAACAAGCTCATGCCCAAGAGTATGCGTGGGCACTACCTGTCTTTTCAGGAACATCACATGAGTCGGAGAAACAGTCTTCACAGAAACAGGAAGCGCAAACGTGCAACGTTCGTCCTGGCAGACGCACGCACGTTTTAGAAACATCGAAATTGAAGCATGGAGAGTTTCACATGCCGTGTAGCTGTCCTTCACGGGAACAAGTGGGAATGTTGGAAGCCTCCAATAATCACGTCAGAGAACCATCTCAGTTCCCGTTACAGACAGGGTTAGTTGTGAAAGATGCCCCTGCAGTAAGAATGCAACCGGAAGTACGCGTACAACGTGTTGGGTTTGTTTTGCCTGCAGAAGATTCCTCTGAGCTTTCAGAAACGGTGCCCTTGAAGGAGTTACCTCGGAAGGTGTCTAGCCATCAAACAGAGACAGAAGCTGGAGAAGAGTCTCCACTGAAGACACCCCTTGTGCCAGTAACAAAGGGATCACATATAGTTCAGGCGAGCTTTGTCGATTCCTTGGCATGTCAGCAGGGATCTGCAGAGAGGACCATCAAAACAAGCCTTGAACAACCCCTCAGGCTTTCAGAAACCATGACTTCGTCTCGCGAAGAACCTCAAGCTCAGGGTGTTGAGCAATTCTTGATATCAAAAATGGGAGATGCGTCTTTGAATTATTGTGGTATACTGAATTTAAGGGACAGAGTGTTGGCCTCAGCAGAAAGCATCCAAGCTCAGCAGAAGTATTTGAAAGAATTGCAGGAGCTGCTAGATGCCCAAAGAGAAGCTATTCTGTCTAGGCAGAAAATACAAGAACAATTACTCTTACAGAAGCAAGATAAATTGAAGGAACAGAGGCAGAGACATCAAGAGGCTTTGAAAGAATTTCTGAACAAGCAGGTAAGCTTTATAAATGTTTTGTGTGGTGACTCACCTCGTAGGTGATTGGACTTCTGAGCGAGTGCTACCAATTAGTGATGTATCCCATGGAGTGTTGATAGTTTTAGGTGATTTACCATAATGAAAACTTTAATTAGGACTCGTGGTTTGTAATCAGCAGTTCTTTTCTGTAAGCCCCAAGAGCACAGTTTTGTTCAGCCTAACAGAAATGGTATGATCTCCTGGTCTCTGAACAGGACGCCTGTTGAAATAGCCATGTCTGAAATAGCTGCAGGTATCGCTTTCTTCAGCTCTAGAAATGCAGCTGTATGTGTAAAGCAGCTCCTGTATTAAAAATACTTCAGCAGTACCTCAAACAATGTCGTAAGTGGTTTTTAATAGATTATTTTTTAGTCTTTTTTATAGATACCTGTTAAGAAATTGGTTTGGCAGCTGCACACTTGGCTTGTCATTTTGCTTGTTTCTGGGTAAAAGAAAAATGCAAGTTTATTTTTGAGTTTCTAAAGAAACTTTTTTAAACAAAAGCTATCTTAGAAAAACAGCTGTTGCCTGGAGTCCCTATTTCTTGCCTTGGCAGTCTCCAAGGAGCTAAAAATCCCTGAATTCAGGCGCTAAAAAACTAAAAGCAGAATTTTCAGGAATCATTCCTGTTACAAATGAGTATTCTGATCTAATCTACCAAAGACCTTGAAAATGTAAGTAATTGTTCTAGCACGTTAGGCCTGTAGAGCGAAATAAAATACTTGTCCGGATGTGTTTGTAAGCTAAGCAAGTCTGGCTGGTATCTTGCATACTTGAACTACTCTCTCAAAGTGGTTGGTGTTGTCCTGCGTGGGATACACACAAGAAGATGCTGGTTAGCCTACTCTTCGCTGGGTTAAAAACTGGTTGAGGGCAGAGCACAGAGGATTGTGATGAATGAAGTCAGATTGGCTGCCTTCACAAGTGGTGTCCCCCAGGGCTCAGTCTTGGGGCCGGTCTTGTTTAACACATTTATCAATGATCTGGAGGAGGGGATGGAGTGCTGCCTCAGACAGTTTGCAGATGGCACCAAGTTGGGTGGAAGCGCTGATCTGCTGGAGGGTGGGAGAGCCCTGCAGAGGGACCTGGACAGGCTGGATCAATGGGCTGAGGTCAATTATATGAGGTGCAGCAAGGCCAAGTGCTCAGTTCTGTATTTAAGTAACAACAACTACAGGCTTGGGGAAGAGTGACT